TCATACAACAACATTGGTACTGTGTATAGCAACATGGGAGAGTACTCAAAAGCACTTTCATATTACGAAAAAGCACTTGAGATTAAACAAAAAACTCTTCCTTCAAATCATCCTTCATTGGCTATTTCATACAACAACATTGGTGAGACGTATAGACAAATGGGAGAGTACTCGAAAGCACTTTCATTTTACGAAAAAGCACTTGAAATCTATCAAAAAACTCTTCCTTCAAATCATCCTGATTTGGCTACTTCATATTGGTGCATGGGAAGTTTGTATGAAAATATGAAAGACTATTCGAAAGCACTTTCATATTTTCAACGTGCTCTAGACATCAAACAACGTGCATTACCTCCAACTCATCCTAGTATTAAAAATGTGAAACAAAGTATTGAAATTGTAAAAAAGAAATTATAAAGAATATTTGATAAATAAAAGAATGTTTTGTTCACTTGTTTTTGAATTAATTCTAGTTTCTGGTGTTGCGCGCGCGTATAGAGTGCCACTCTGTAAATAGTAAAAACGTAATGGACAAAGCCGACTGATAAGGTAACACACATACATATGGATGTGTATAAACGATCTTCTCAGACATATTTATATTTCTAATTCTTTACGACAGTGTTCCTTGCAATAAAAGAAGAATAACTTATATGGAATTAAATTGTAGTAGTGTTGAGCGAGGCCTTGTATGATGAATATGAAGTGAGAAAACTGCGATATATATATGGGTACGTCCTCAACACATGGTCTAATTGAATCAATCAATGAATATTCATCATTAATAAAAAACAAGGGTGTGGGTGTGGGTGTGGGTATGGATGTGGATGTTGAATGAGTAGAGTACCCACACCCTTCCATTAGGATAAACGACTTACATAAGCAGCTTTATTAGATAATTAGAAATCTTTTGTAATATAACCTTGTTAAGCCATCAAACTATTTTTTATCATGCTTTTCATACATTAACACATCTATTCAATGAAATTATAGTGAAAGACAGTGGAAAAAGGAAGAAAAATATGCCGCTTCGCTTTTCTTTTTAAATTCGTTTTTTTACTTACACTCTCTCTTCGTTTAGATAAGTAACTATACATACAAGGACGATAATAGAATGGCAAGAATAATAAAACTGCATTAACGTTTGTTTGTTCCGTTGTCAATGTACTTTTTTTATCAACTCTTCTTTCTCCTTATATTTGCATTTTAAACGATTAACTATTGATCATCAATAGAACTTCTTTTTGCGGAACGATTTGAAATCAAAAGAAGCTGCATGACTATTGTTAATAATGGCTTTTTGTTTTTAGATTCAAACGAAAAAAAATGATTTGTGTTATATAGAATACTTGTATACTACACACAATTCTCTCAAAATACTTTTAATAGCGTTTTTCTTCATAGGTTTTCATATAATATGACTTGTAATGAACATAAGTCTAATGATGCATGCATATATACTACTATTACAAGATTATTGTTATACTAATCAACTTCTTTTTTTTGTATCAACTAGCATCTATATTTATTAGATAAAAACGGATCATACAAAAGTTGTTCATAGATTCTGTTTTTAATATAGTTTTTCTGAAATTTTCGATGATTTCTACCACCGTATATATACACTATTTATTACAACAAAATCATCCATGTTATCTTGAAATAAATGTTCTAGTGTAATAAAAAATAATAAATAGCACGTAATTTGATAAAGATATCATTTCACAAATTATTTCCTTTTTTGTTCAACAATATTTTTTTATATTCAAATTATGAAAAAACTTTTTAGTATTTTTCTGATTTTTAAAAACTATTTTCAATAAAACTTTTCAATGATCGTGTACAACACAGTTTACTTGTTTCGAGAGAAAACAACAACGTTCTTACAATATTTCATTGCCATAATGGAATTCATTATCTACAATAAATTAGATAAATTAGAAAAATTTCTTCGATCTTACTGTCATCAATATTAAGCCTACAGTTTTTTTCACTTCTTGGTATAATGTTTAAAACATGCTCTATATACAAAATTTCACAAAGCTTTTTCCGTTGTTTTTTTATAATAAATTTCACACGTTTATCAAAGAATGTAAAAGAAAAACAAATCTGGTGAAAGAATTAGATTTCTCTTTCTACCTTTATTTGATGAAAAAAAAACATCGCCTGCACATTTAACAACTGCAGTAATGGTGTAGACAGAAGCAAGAATAAGTTGGAAAGAATAACAATAAGATGGAATCCATTGTTGGCTTCTTTTTTGTTCGTTCTTTCAATAACATTACCAATGAATTTGTTTGTTTTAATGTGTTTCTTGTTCTGCACAATATTATTTTCAAACGTAACTATGTGGATTTTGTCCTTGAGCGACAACAAAAACACGCAAACATTTGAAGTCGCCGAAAAATCGAGAAAAAACAAGTCACCAGTTATATAAAGAAGAACGATAATTCTTTGTTTCATTCAAACAACAACATCTACTAACAAGTTCACATTCAACAAAGTACCACAAGATCAAAATGAGCGGATCGAAATCGAATCAGAATGTTGCTGCATCATCAAATATTCGCCAACCACGAAAACGTATCGTACAAAATTACCTTCTCATCTGGGTAGATGCCAGCATCGACCAAGCAGACAAGGACTGCCAGAATACATTGGCTCAATTGAAGAATGTGGTCAATGATGTCAGCTTATGCACGGAACCGAATCAGTGCATTCAAGTACTCAATAAGGTTGACAAGAAACAAGCCTTTGTGATAACATCAGGCTCGCTAGGTCAAGATCTGCTTCCTAAAATTCATGGCATGCCACAGTTAGATGCAATTTACATTTTTTGTGGAAACAAATCTAGACATGAGGGATGGACTCAAAGTTGGAAAAAAATTAAAGGTGTCCATACAAATATCAAAGATATTTGTCAAGCATTACAAGTGGCGGTTAAACAATGTAACCAAGACACCATTGCCGTAAGTTTTCTCGCAGTAAATGAAATGGCTTCAACCAGTAATTTAAATCAGTTGGAGCCGACTTTTATGTACACCCAATTATTCAAGGAAGTTCTGCTTGATATCAAATACGACCCCAAGGCAACCAAGGACTTAGCAGTTTGTTGCCGTGAAGTTTTTGCTGGCAACTCAATTGAATTACAAGTGATCGATGAATTCGAACGTGATTATCGTCCAGAAAAAGCAATATGGTGGTATACACGTGAGTGTTTTACCTACAAAATGCTCAATCAAGCACTTCGAATGATGGATGCCGACATAATCATTAACATGGGCTTCTTTCTACGTGATGTGCATCAACAAATTCAACAGCTGCATGAACAACAAGTCAGTAGTTATGAACGGAAACCTTTTATAGTTTATCGAGGACAAGGTCTTATGAAATTAGATTTTGAAAAACTTCAGAAAGCAAAGGGTGGACTTATGTCATTTAACAATTTCTTGTCTACCAGTAAAAATGATCAAGTGTCTCTCCGTTTTGCTCGCGATGCTGCAGCAGAAGTAAATAAGGTGGGAATTCTCTTCATAATGTCCATCGATCCTTGTTTGAAATCAACACCATTTGCCTGTATTACTGAACTTAGTTATTTCGAGGCACAAGAAGAAGAAATTCTCTTCTCAATGCACACTGTCTTTCGGGTGAGTGCAATTAAACAAATGGACAAGAAGAATCAACTTTATCAAGTTGAATTACAATTAACGTCGGATGATGATCAGCAACTACGATCACTCACTGATCAAATACGAAAAGAAGCTGGTTGTGGCACTGGATGGCAAAGATTGGGTAACTTATTGCTTAAAAGCGGTCAATTTAATAAAGCTGAAGAACTTTATAATGTATTACTCGAACAGACATCAGATGAGGGTACAAAGACAATTTATTATAATCAGCTGGGATATATCAAAGATGAACAGGGTGATTA